ATTCTGATTTGATCATTCACATATTGTACACAATTGCTGATTGTCAACTCCGTACCCCCAAATATGTATAACCAATTATGTTTCAATAAAAATTTTTTAAAAAAAATCAGAACAAAAAGAACGAAAGAAGGAATGGATTGTGCAGAAGATGAGGGTCTAGATCACTGTGACAGAACGTCATCACGGAAGTGTGCGGATGGAATATAATGATGTCTGCATGACTTTGGAAGAATCTTAAGAAACCTTTTAAAAACATAAATAATTCATGATACTATTCTTTAAAATATTTACAGAATTTTGTACCTGGAAATTCCTTCATATTATTCAGTTTTTTCCCAAGTGTTTATATTCCATAGATTCTTATGGTCAATAAAGCACGTACTGTTTATGTTAAATTCTATTTGTAGCTTCTGCCACTATTCGTGGGTTTACTTGTGAGTGCAGAGAAATGGTAGAACATTACCTTAGATACTACTTGTGCTTGGTGAATAAAGAACATGACCACACCACTAAGCATGTGTGCATTGCTTCGCAATTAGAAAGATTTATCATCATTTTAACATTCTTCCCATTTGCCTTTGATATTCATTTCTACTTATCAAATATTAACATTTGTTCTGCTTTCAGAGCTAATTCCTTAAAATCACTTTTGGTTGGTTTTAGTAAATTGCTGAGTTTAAAGGCAATGAGGAATACAATGCTCTAAAATTTTATATTTGAAACTACAAGTGTGATTTTAAGGGGTACACTGAGTTGAGCTCATTAATCCATTGGTTTGTTAAAGGAAGCTCTCAAAGTTAATATACCTGAGAATCATTTGAAAAAAGAGGGGAAGTATGAAAAAAGAGTGAAGTAAATGAAATATTTCCCACCTCTGCTGCCCAGAGTAGCTTTAAAGTATGACTTTGTTAAATTCAAACTTAATAGGGCTTTAAGAAAAGGAAAGAAAAAGGGAATGAGAGGTGCAGTTCAGAAGATCTAATTCGGATTTGGACTGAGACTTATAGGTTATGTAAAAGGGAATAATGATAATATGCAATCATAATCATAACACAAACCATAATGTTGTGAGGGTTAAATGAGAGAATGTACATGAGAACTCTTTGTAACTACAAGGAATGGTGGTTTCCTACACCTCAGACACACTGTCAAATGGTCAAATAGTAACATCCATACCGATGTGTTCATTACAAGGGAGAAAATAGGGTTTTATTCCCATAGAAAGTTTCAAACAGGCAAACTAATGTCTCATACTTCTATCTGTGAATTCAAAAGAATTTGGAACTCTCTATACACTCTATTCTATGTAGAGGTCACCTGTGACTGGGCCTTACTCCACTGTTGATAATAACACATATGAGGGTACTTTGAAAAGTTCATAGAAGTGATATAGGAGGTGCTCAGTTTCCCTGGGCTTGGGTTTCAGGACAGGCCTCTGGGTTTCCAGCCATTCCCCAAGGTCTCAGGCCCCCTCTTGTGGGCTCTCCCCTGGAGGAAAGTTACTGTTGCCACTTAGACCTATTTTCAGCACCAACAAGGGGAAGATGAGATCACAGGGGGCTGTCATGCAAATCGAGTGGCTGGGCATGGTCAGTAGGGAGCACACAATATTCTTGAATATGCCTGGTGCATATAACTGGGAACCACCCACTTAACTGAATATTTATTAGACAGAGAAACTACAAAAGCCAAAACCCAGCCAAACGTGGGGCTGTTGCTCACTTTCCTGGAGGCGACCTGCACTTTGCTGGCTGAGGTGTGTATTTTACTTTGTACTGAACTTACTTTCAGCAAGCAGCTGCTCATTCTCTTGAGCCAGTCTGCATTCTGTACTGAACTTTCCGTTTCTCTTGCTTTTGTGTTAGACTTGATGTCTGTACTGAACTTACTTTTGTGTTAAGCTTGGTGGGCCCTGCTCGGTCTCTGGAGCTGTGCTGCACTCTCTATGTGGAACCCGTATTTCTTCTCTATTATATTAAACCTGTTCTCACTTTCTACTGTGACTCTGCCCTTGAATTCTTTCCTGTGGTGGAGTCAGGAACCTGGTAAAATGACTGGGTGAGTGGAGGCCAAATATTGGGCCCCCTGGGCCCTACCTCTGACATCATAAGGATTTGTATTATATTTTAATTCTATTTTTCCACAAACTTTTTGAAAGTGCCCATGTATATAGCTTACCTGTTTCCATGATTTTGATTGATATTACATACAGCTAAAAAACCAGCACGGCTCTCTTTTAAAATCAAAATTAATGGATCATGTAACTAAATCCAGAAAATTCCGATATCAAGTAGATGTAGCTTGATAGTATGTAACTCTATTTCTTCTTTTACACTATTTTGCCCAAATTTAAGACTCTCTTTTCTTTTCTCAGGTTTATATCTGCATTCCCACTACTCAAACTCTCTATTTCTCGATATTTCTTTGTCTTAGCAGAGGCAAAGATGAATTTGAACTAGTTTTTTAATCATAATTTTAGCAACTGACATAGCATTGTAAGTGACTAAATTCTTTGTTTTATAGAAATATGATGTCATAATAGTGGTAGGCTCAAGCTTCCTTCCATAAAAGCTGGATAATGCTTTAGTTTCACATACATTCTTCTAAATGTAAAATGTTCTCAACAAGACATATGAGTCGGTCTTCCGGTAATGGGAACAAAGTCATTTGATGTGAACCTCATTTCTTGCTTTGTACCCTTTCTGAACAAAGACTCACATTTATAATACAGCAGAGCAGTTAGAATTATGGTCAAAGAAAAAATGAAATCAACTTAACTTGGTTATGTGTAAACCAAAACCTTGGATTTATCAGCTTTCTGCTAAAAACACTTTTAAAGAATATTCTTAAGGTCATATTCAAAAATAGAAACATGCGAAATTTGTTACAATGAGAACATATACCACAAACTGATTTAACTGTTTAATATGAAAGACTGTGTATATGTGGGATTGGGGATTAGGAGTTTAAAAGTTAGAGTTATGGAAGGTGAAATATAATTCCAAGAAGCCACATCTGTAGTATAAACAGAAGAAGCAACTTCATTGCTTCTAAACTAAATCTGTCATACATGTTTCTCCCCCCAGATATCCAGATACAGCATCATAGGATTGAACTGCATGTGACCTTAGACAAAACGGATTGTCTCATTTTTAAAATGAGGAGAATTGAAACTGAGATTAACTGGCTTCCTCAGGATAACATGGTCAAACACTGGCTGAGCTTAAGTGGGAAGTTAGGTCCCCTAATATTCACTCCAATACTCTTTTTACTATATCACTGTATCTCCTCACATATATTTCCCTGTACTTATAACAAAGTTCTTATTGATTTTAAAGAATGAATAAAAATTAAGCTATTACTGTCTCATACTTTGCATTTAAATAGTGAAACTAGAATAGATCACTTAGCATTGGTTTTTGAAAACTTTTCCTGCTAGTCATAAGCTTTTGATCTCATCTGTAGATTTATGTGCCACTGTCACAAATCTTGTACCACATTCTGAAGGCAAATGTGGCATTCAGCTCTCTGAAAGAAATTTTAAAATATAACTCAAGAGTGCTTGAATGGAACAAATGTGGCCATTGGTTTTCTTTGGACATTTATTACTTTCTTTATGCTTAAAATGAAAAACACAATAAGGATGAAACCGATAAAATTTTAAGTACGCAACTACTACGGAGCAAACAGACATATAAAGGCATGTAATTGCTTAACCATATTGCCTTGCTTTAGTCAATGCCACTCGTAGTAATCTATCATACAAATATTTCAAGACTATCCATCACAGCAAAAATTAAATTATATTAGCTCTCAAGAGGTCTTGAATTTGAAACTCATTTTTATTAAAGATCTAGCAATTCTTTGACAGGACTTTCAATCACATCCCTAAATGGACTGTCAATAGAAAAGTAATCTGGTTTATCATTTTTTTCTTATTAAAACATTGAAAACAAATATTTTTAAACCCAGTTCCCTCTATGTCTTCAGGAGCATACTATCTGCAACCTATGAAATTGGAAAAAAAGAGAAAATTATTTTCTAATTTCATGGTTAAGCCAGTTTTAGGGTTTTGGAGTATAACACAGTGTCCTTCACATAGGGAACATATAGGCACATCTCCTTGACCAATACATCCATTCTGAGTTCTTACTATGAGCCAGGCACTTAACTAAGAACTCTAAATGAATTAGCTCGTTCAATATTTCAGTGACCATGTTAGAGATGAGGAAACTGGTAACTAGAAGGTTAAGTGACCTCAAGGTCACTCAGCTGGTAAGTCAGATTCCAAAACTTGTGTACAATAATAATAATCTTAGCTGTACTAACTGCAAGAGCTAGAATTTATAGAGTGTTTACTATGTAGCAGGTTCTGTTCTAAGAACTTTACATTTATTTTGACTTATTCATCTTAATAATAAACTGATATTGTAAAGATTTTTATTATCCCAATTTTTTTTTTCAGATGAAAGACTGAGGCACAGAAAGGTTAAGTAACTTGCCTAAGGTCCCACAGCTAGTAAGTGTGACCTTGAGCACACTTCTTATATTCCCTGTATTTATTATGCAAACCCATGAAAAGCTTCCATGTGTTGGTTTGTGATAGGATGTTATTTCTTTAAATGATTTTAGAACATTTCTTACTCTTGACCTTTGTTTAAATTAGGATTCCAAAAGGAAAGATATTTTAAGACTCCAAGCAATAATAGAACAAAGGAATTGCCAACCAGCAATTCAGTTCTTCCATAGTGATTCAGCATTATCTTCCTTGTTTATTGCAAGGTTTACTAAAGTCTGAATTTTGGACATTTCCAAAATTAAAAGTTTGAAAACATTTATACAGAGACTTATTAAATAATATAAAATGTTCTATTCCCACAAAACATTATCATAAACATTAAGTGAAGAAATTACTTTTTTTGTTTCTTACAAACAAGCTTTATCTGTATGCATATTATTTTTATTGTAACAAGGAGCAACAATGTTCATAATGTGCCTACCTGCAGAAGCTTCCATCTGGTGTTCAGGTCTTCTAGAGTGTTGAGGTTATATGGTGAGAGCTGAATGCCCAACGTGGTGAGCTGGCGTGCAAGGTCATTGACGTGGCTTACATTCTCCTTAAGAGGTGCAATTTCTCCTCGAAGTGCCTGTGTGAAACAGGTCGGAAGCAAATTGGAAGATGAGAACATTTAAAGCAAAGAAGCATAGACATATGGGAACTACAGGATATCTTATTCTACTTGGGGTACAGTGTCAGTAATGTTTGCTGTATGCTATGGTCTCAATGTTTGTGTCCCCCCCAAATTCATATGTTGAAGCCCTAAAAAAAAATAAATAAATAAAAGGAAATCCTAACCCCCAAGGCAATGGTATTAGGAGGTGGGGCCTTTGGGGAGGTGGTTGTTGGGATTATTACCCTTATAAAGGAGAGCTAGCTAGCCTCTTCCACAATGTGAGGATGCAGCAAGAAGGCACCATCCATGAGGAATGGGCCCCCACCAGACACTGAATCTGCTGGTGCCTTGATTTTGGACTCCTCAACCTCTAGAACTGTGAGAAATACATTTATGCTGTTTATAAGCCACCCAGTTTACAGTATTTTTGTTATAGCAGCCCGAAAACACTAAGACACCATTATGGTGATATTACAGTGGATATGTGTTAATGGGTGAATAATGATAACTAATATTTATCGAGCAATTCCTTAAGTGCCTAATGCTATGACGATCCTTACCCACACATGAACTGATTTTATACCTACACAACAATCCCATGAAGCTGGTGGTTTTTGAATGCTTATTTTATACATAAGAAAACGAACTCGCAGAGGTTAAACCTTGCCATGGTAGAAAATGAGGAAGCTGAGATACATACACAGGTTTGCCTGCTTCCACAGTACATATTCTTTTTTTTTTTTAATTAAAAAAAAATTTTACGTGTACATATTTATGAGATACAGTGTGTTGTTTCAATCCATGTGTATACTGCACAATGATTCACTTAGGGTAGATAGAGTAGTTTTGTTCCCATTAGTTCACCACTTCTCTTCCTCGGCTCCCCTCCGCTCCTGGTCTCCGGTAACCCAGAGTGCATATTCTTAACTGCTATATTATATACCTCTCCAAAGAGACTGTGGGTAGGCAAAGTTACAGGAAAAAATATACTGCTGCTAGATTCTAAATTCTACTCATCTCACAACCAGAAATGGATCCTTACTTTTTACAATAAAAAGATACACTCAATCATAAAATATTGCATTCATTCTTTGCACTAAGCACATAATAAATAGTTTCATTTAGGGAGTAAAGTATTTTGTCAAATCTTAAGAATGACTTCCCAGTCTTCTGGTATTTTAGTCCTTGTAGCAATGACTTCAGAAAGCTCCCTTGGGGCTTCTCAGCTGTCTCTGAAGCACTAGAGCAGGAGTCTGTGATGCAATGCATCATGACAATCTGTTGAGCAGAAGAACCCTATGCAGATATGGGGAGGATATTACCATTCATCATATTCGCCCTATCGAGATGGCATTTATGGATCTTTAACATGATGCATGATGTCCAAATGTTCCAATGAGCAAATTCTACGGGACAAATTCCCTCACTTAGGGGAACAGTTTGTGTAATGTAATGTTTGTGCACAAGGACAGCATCACTTAACTTGACTGTACGTGCTATTTTGACTTGCTGGATGTGGGCAGGTGTTATTTCTGTCTGGTTCAGTATGTTGATCAAACAATTGCTTACACCGACCTCATCTGTAACCCTCTCATTCCCTCCCACTCCAAATGGAAGGACCCAGTGTATGAGTATACGTTCAAAATAAGAATGGCATTATTCTTTCAAATCAACCTGTACATCTCACCACTAAAATATGGTGTTGTACTTATAGTTTTAAAAAGTGATCATTAAAAACATTATATTAAAAATCATGGAGTTTTTTTTCTGGGTGATGAAAATGTTCTGATATTAGACAGTAGCAGGCATCACAACCTTGTGAATATACTAAATGCCACTGAATTATAAACTTTAAAAGGGTGAATTTTATTTTATGGTATCTGAATTGTATATTAATAAGAAATGAAAACAAAAAAGCCCCTTCTGACCACACATGCAACAAAATCATATGTGATTCATTCATCTTTATTCAACTTCATATTAATGAAATGTCATTGGAATCAGTCTGAAACTAATACAATTTTATAGGGATTGATAATAAATATTAATATTCCATTTCCTTATGAGTAAATACATGGATTAAAAGAATCAGACTAAATGTCTATGGAGAAAGGTGGTTAAAATCCATATATACGAATTTATATCCTGTAAAGGACATAATTCATAATCGTTTTGTTTTGCATAATAGAAAGGTTAGAAAATAAATTTCTTGAATGTCAGTGGGAAAACCCGGACAAAGAAAATTACAAAAGGGTACTATTATCCCGTGGATAATAACATGGATTTCTAGTAACCACAAATAGATATCATGTGAGAGAAATTGTAAATAGGAATGACTTCAGAGATGGCAGAGGAGCAGGCAGAATCCATCAATACTGCAGGTGAGCCCTTGTGCTAATCATCTCCTTTCACCAGTGAGGCTCTCAGCCATTAAGCTGAGTATCCATTCCAGTTAAGTCCGATCTAAATTTTAGTTTCCTTTAGGTTACATAATGTACATTTTCATTTATTAATTTACTTTTCTCCCTTTCTCAGCTTTACACTGCATGGGATCTTGTATCTTCTTCTTTTTTTTTTTTTTTTGCTCCTGTCTAGTAATGATGATCAAAATTCTCTGAACTGATTTCCACTTAAGACTCACCAGATTAGCCACAGTCTTCATTCCCTCTGTGAAATACACTGAATGGAACCTCTAACAGCCTCCAAACAAAAATGTTTAAGGTATCTGTCAGTTTAATGTTTAAGGCATGCGTGACCCTTCTGCTCTCATTAGTTGAGTTGTCAGTTGTGTGCATGTTACAACTGTGAGCTGTGTGTATGTTCTCAAACCTGTTTTTGCTCATTTGTATTGCAATTACATAATTTAATTAGATTTCTTAAATCAAAGAAACATCGGTCTAAAGAGAAAAAAGTTATTATTTCTATGAAAACCAGGTCAAATATTCTGAAAGTTGTTTTAAAAAGAGAATAAATAATAAATTGTTGAAATACGTATGGATGAGACAACTGTAAAATATTAGGAAAACAAACCTAAAAATTTAGAAGGATTCTGCATTCAGAATGCTTCTAATGTTTCTTGCTGAGCCCTCTGTACATTAAAGAAATTGTAACTGGAAATCAAAAAGTATGTACTATTAGTGTGATTTATACAGAGCTCAAATCAGTTAATCTACATTCAAAAAAAAAACTTTCATACAATATTAAAATATTGGTAACTTTTAAGTTAAAATAAAATGTTTAAGCCATATGTTTTAACTGACTTCATTTAACTGACTTTTTCAATTAACTGTCCTAAATGAATTAGAATAGAGAGCATCTATTACCATTTTTTACTATCACTATTATTTTACTACCACTGCTACTGCTACTAGTACTATTAATTAAGAAGAAAAACCAAATGTTCAGTTTAATCTTAATGCCTAAATTTCTGTTAAGTTATTTAGTAATGGAAGCTTTGATTTGGGAGAGGTCAGTTGATAAAGAGATAATTTGGGGAAAAGGTTCACTTTGGGGAGTTATCTTGATGGGCCTGAGCAGACCGAACAGCTAGAATCATAATGAGGGCACTTCTGTGGATTGAATGTCACCCCCCAAAACTCATCGAAGCTTGACCCTCATTGTGACAGTACTAAGAGGGTGGGAAATCTGATTATGGTACGTGAAAGGTGGGGGCCTTTAAAAGGTGATTAGATTGTGAGGACTGTGCCCTCATGAATGGATTGATCCATTCATGGAGCACAGCCTGTGGTTTGATGGCTTTACAAGGAATGCAAGTGAGAAGGTTAGCTGGCTCTTGCTCATGCCATTTTCTCGCCATGTGACACCCTGTATTGATGTAGAGAGTCCCCACCAAGAAGAAGGCCCTCACCAGCTGTGTTACTTGGACCCTGGACTTCCCAGCCTCTAAACTGTAAGAAACAAATTTCATTTCTTTATAAATTACCCCATTTCAGGTATTCTGTTATAAGCAACAGATGACGGAGGAAAGGAGATAATTGATGGTAGAAAAGATAAAAAGACAAAGGAGGCAGGAAGGTGCTCAAGTCAATCTTCATTTTGGCATTTGACCTAGGTTCTGGTGACAGCTCAATACCACCCCAGGATGGCTCACTGCTGTAGGCTGTCAGTTCCTAGAGTGTACATAACAAGAAGTATGGCCCCCTAAGCACTGAATCAGAAGACATATGTAAAGATTGAATACAGGTACTGTGTCATTTAAATGGATGAAACATCGGATTTGACTATATTTCAAATAGTAGAGCTTTCAGTATTGCACACATAAATTTATGCTTAAATTATTAAACACTATACATAAAACGTCAAAAAGTAAGTTAATTCTGAGCAATATGATGTGCTGCAAATGATACCAGGATTTCATTAGGTTTTATTCTAGTTTGGAAGCAGTAAGTGAGAAAATATTGAAGGAAGCCATTATACTGTGGGTTTTCTTTGAAACACTTAAACATCTGGAATATGTTCTCCATGAAAGAGCAAACCAAACTTAATTTTATTATAACTAGTTTCACACAGGTGGAATTTTCACTTCATTAAATGTTTTCTGATTATAGATATAAACATACTGATTTAGAGTCATATATAAGTCTGATATGTCAAGTTTTACTTCTTTTTAAAGATTAAGCTGCCTGTCAGATATTTGCTTATCTTTATGTAGTTAAGAATTTGTTTAAATATATATTTAGAATTATAGTCAACCACTTTAGCAACACAAGAAATTGTCTATCAACAAGGGAACATTATTTTTGAGGGAGCAATTTTGACTGGATAGTTGAGACCATCCCTGCTGCAAGGCATAGAAAGTCAGTTTGGAAGATTAGAAAGGGTACATTGAGGGAATTCTATTTTGAGGGCCTCTCTTTCCTCTGTGAAGTAGAAGGCAATGGACCTGGCCTAGTGTGCAGTGCATGGTGTGCAATGAATATTTGCTGAATGGAAACATGAATTAAGGGTAAGTG